TTCCTGTATTTATGGCTTTAATAGTTCTCTTTCCAAATACTTTACACCTTCCTGATTTCCACGTCTAGAATTTTGACCAGGAATTCTGACTGGCATTGACAAACCGTATTATAAACAAGGGTACCCTGTGACTGGTTGTATATGCAATATATCTGCTGAATGATAAACCTAACGTTGCGGATCTCAATTCTATGAGACAGTAAGAGTCTAAAATAGCTGAACGAGTAACAGAACACTTCACAAACGCGATACGCGGTAATGTCTTAACGGATTTGAGACGTACAAAATAAATACTTGGGCAGAGGCATCTAAAGATACTGGAGTATCTATAAAAAAAATGTTGCTGAGTTAGGAAAGCTATTAAAATTTCCAATAACAGTTACGACATTAACAGGAGAGATTTTTGTATAAATCAAAGTATGATTCAAGAGGTGCTTCGATTGATATTGGACATCCATCACATGAGATGACCAGAGTTGCGATAAACGGACACTTACCAGATTTTGAATTAACCGGATTTGCCTATATAAAATCATTTGAGTTTACATATATTCTCCATCCGATTACTAATGCTTGGTTTGGAAAACATTTTTCAGAAAAATGTTGTGTTCCAATAGTACTATTAGCATATATGCTTGGTGCTTGAATTTTAATATCAGTGAAAGCAAATGAAGCAAAATTATATCGTATAGTCCACCGATGCACTTTTGGTTACCAGAACTGGGTAGACTTAATATTGAGAAGGCCAGTAAAGAATCTCCTGATCTCAATGAAGATAACATTATTAAAATTCCTAATAATATAATTAAATGCAGGAACGAGCACGATGAAAAACGATGAAAAACTTGCAAAAGATCTTGGTAGAAAGATAATCGGTAAGTTTACACAGAGAGGATCATACGATTATAAACGACACTGTACAAGATTGATTATGGACAATGATGAACTCGATTTTATAATCGCTGATACCACGAAAAACAAAACACATTTATAAATCGATGCAATGCTTAATTTTCAGACGGAACCAAATTAGGCACAGTTCTGAGCTCTATATATGACGATCCACCACAGTTTGCTTACTTAAAATCTTCAATGCTAGTCTATGTTTCAATAAATCTATTGTCGATGATAAATAGATTTCCTCGTTATGCTGTCAGAGTTACTACATATTCTTTTGTATACATAAAAATATACAGATTTATTACAACCGCTACAAGTGGGTCATGGAAATATATTACAAAATAATAATCAAGTATCAAAGTCATCTGCACCATCTGTATATGATCCTCTGGCTAGGCATATGACTGTTCATCTTAATGGATGTTGTGGTTCAGGTAAAACAACTTGTGCGATTAAATTATTCATGAAAAGCCGTTCAGTTATAATTGTTTTGACACCTACACATAAACTTGCCACATAAATAATAAAAGGAGACGTTAAATCATGTACATATCAAAGTGTCTTTAGATAGTGCGGAGACACATGAACTCCCGAGTGAATGGGTGAAAAATATATACCTAAGTATATTATATATGACGAGGTGGACACAGTGATTACAATGAAGAAATAAATAATGACCATAGAGTTATTGATGAACCGCTGAAATAATTTAAAAGGTTTATCAAACTACAGCCAGATAAAATGCAATGTGAGATAAAGCGTAAAGTAATTCCAAACACTACTATGAATGATCTTTTGAATTTATGGAGACCTGTTGATTTAATAGTCGCGAGACATTTACGTTACATAAAGAAAAGCTTTCAAATCTGCTTTTATCATTATGTTAAGTTTAAATTCCTGGTGTTGGAATACAAAATCCTGTACTGAATGATATTTTTGGTTACTGTTCATCTTGTTGAGAGCGCGTTGAACATGGATAAATCATTTTGGACATTAGGACACGCTATAACGATTCATTCGTCAGAGAGAATAACTATATCTGATACAAATATCTGGATTATCGGTGATATGATCGAATGGTCAAATTTAGTCTATCTTGCAGTATCTAGTGTCAAAGCATATCTCAACTTCATAGGGTTATTATAGATTACGTGATAACTGAGAAAATTAATAATGACCCTGTTGTCATAAAGAAAAATTTGGCGGGTTATGAACAAGATGACAAAAAGTAGGCATGACTTTGACATTGATACTGAACTTATTATAACATTAAAACAACTCAGAATAATCATTATGCAAGCTGTAATGTGTTATGGAAATATTCGAAAAATAATTCAAGCCAATTTACCGTAGACAGAATTAATAGTGATCTTTGTCATACACGTGATAATGTGATGCTGACCTGTCTTCAATGTAATCGTCGCAGAGGTTCTATTCTTTATACGTGAAGGTGATTGTTGTTGTTGTTGTTGTTGTTGTTGTTGTTGTTGTTGTTGTTGTTGGGCTTAACGCTATTTTTTCAGCAGACGATAGGCTATTCATGGCGGCCAGTATTAATGGTGGGGGAAGAAACAGGGAAATCACTGGAAAGAACAACCGACCCACGAGAAGCTACTGGCTAGCTTTCTCACATATCCACATTAGCCGAATTCTAGACTCAAACCCACGCAGACAGAGGTGAGATGGCAGTGATCCGTAACGGACAGCGCTTTAGACAACTCGGCCACTCGAGGCCCCGAATGTGATTGTAATTGTGTTGCCTCGGGAATTACTTGCAATTGTTCACGAACAAATCTAGTCTGTTGATTGCACGTATGCCTGTGGAGCTTACCATGCTAAAAAGTGTCTGTGTAGTCACGCTCCAGATAGGCTCCGTTGCTCTTTTTTAGCACCATCAAGTTCACCAGATTCGTATAGATATCTTACAGTTACATTACCTATTACTGGTTGAAAGGAAGATCTTTGTGTTGGTATATGACTTCATCATGTAATTGCATTTAAAGGTTTCATGGCATTTACATGAGTAATTGCATTATTTAACGCACATATCAAACTTGATATCCTTGCAACCCATTCACTAGATCTCTCACCGGACCTAAAGTCAATATATATATATATATATATATATATATATATATATATATATATATATATATATATATATATATATATATATATATACATATATATATATATATATATATATATATATATATATATATATATATATATATATATATATATATATATATATATATATATATATATATTCCTTGCGTATTGATATCCAAATAATCGCTCAGCATGTGTTCGATTAAATCGTTCAACGATTGCCTGACTTTCAGTATTTAATGGTCTGAAATTAACGTTATGATTTCTTCATCAATGACAATACTGCACTAGCAAATTCTTTGCCAGGATCAACCTGTAATAGTTGTAGCCATCGACGACCACCTTGTAGTACGAATCCTCGTTGATAAATTCGCTCAAACACAGTGGCAACTTCAGTTGCCGTCTTTGTTGATAGTGGTTCTACTTCTTTATATCTACTTGTAACGTCAACTACAGTTAATGCGTATTTGTATGTGCGTGATTGACGTCTACATGTTTTAATAGATTCGTGTGGCAAAAACAAAATATCTGCTTGATGAACATCATTAGAGGTGCTGACATCAAAATGTGCGTACTAAATATTTTAGGTGGTGGTAGATAATTTTGCCGTATTGCCTGTCGAGCTGACCAATCTGCTACAATATAATTTGGGACTTTTGTTGCTTCAGCAAGTTTATTAATCGCTGTTTTTTTCCCTGCAATGTTTTCTCGGGGATAATAAAAATATTCCACTATACAGACTATACAATTAATTACCAGCCCTTAACATTAATTTGTCTTCATATTAGATTTTACTAGAAAACTAGCGAGTTTTTCTCTTATAGATTTATTGGGTATAATTTAACACATAAATCAATTTCACATCTTCGAGACGCCGTTGTTGTAAATCTTTGCTATTGAACGCAATTCATGAACATGACACGCTTGACCAATTTTGTTTATTAGATGCTCTCCTGATCTTGGTTGATCTTGGTCATCAAGGCAGATATCATGTCGAGTTCCAAGACCACAATAATTATATATAAGAAGATGTTTCTCACCGGGGTAGTTTGCACTTGGAATTTGTGATAATTTTCCTAATGAAGCAGCAATGTATCCACCTGTCCTTGTCGTTGTGAAATAAATTTATATTTTTGTGTGCCCAATTGAACACATTTGTCTGTAATGGCACCTCTTTTATTTTGTGTTGTTATTGTTGTCAATCCAGTGGTGGGGGTTGTTTGTTGCCCTACATCAAACACACAAAAAATTATATTATTTATTATATGGATATAACAGTTCTCAGAGACATGCAAACAATAACTAGTAAGACACCATCCATCACTGCCAAAGTCTATCAGAATGATCATAATAGGCCCATCTGGGTCTGGTAAAACCCAATTAATGCCTAATCTGATAATACGATGGATCACGTGATTTATGTTACTCAACGATATACACAAATGCCTAAAGTCATCAGAGACAACTGCAATATTTTGGTTGTGTTTAATGGCAAAGATAATTATACTTTACAGAATATTTATCATACTTAGGCTTGCATTACATGACACCATTGTACAACATGGAATATCGATGTGATCATGTCCAAAAACTTATTTTCAAAAGCAGAAGCTCTTTCTTTCGGATTTATAACAATAAATCTACATAACCCAAGATCCATATATCGTATAAATCCGGACAAAATCTTTGGTTAATTACAGCAGCAGGAAGGGTGAAAAACAACCAATACTGAGTGACCCGGCAAGTAAAGGAGTCGTATATAAAGTTGAATAAAATATGTCAAAGATGGGATAAAAATAAGCTAAACAAAATGATTTATTTTCTGTTTCTAACCGTATGGAAATATGCTTGATTAGAGACTTCAGTTTAATGTTATTGACTTTGTTTTGTAGCCTTAGTAGGAACCTTTATTTCTCGTCAATATGGTCTCCAGCAAAAATGTATGTTCACCGTCCCTGCTGTTGTGCCATTTTTATAAGTCTTTGATATGACTCAGCCGGAGTTGGAACCAGCGACCTTCCGCATCCTAGGCGAACGTTTTAACTACTAGGCCACCGGAACGGTCTCTTAAGTAGATTATTTAGTGCTGAGGCTATTACAGTCAGGTGCCACACCACGTTCCTAGGCTGGTCTATCGATAGGCCTGTTTGGTCGTGTGTTTTACATGATAACGACTAAACCACTGCGGTTTTTACCTCTATTAGCCATCTCTTACGACACGCAAAATGGAGGATCGAGCCTTTTCTACGGCACCTAGCCCACATAAGGGGTAAGAATTTGCTTGGAGGTTTTGTTTACTTATAGTATATGAATAGGAGTAAATATAATGACTAGCCCCGTAAAGAACCCGGATTCCTTACATGTACATATGCACATAGGTGCGTACACGGGAGTTTCAGTATCAAATGATATTAGTTATGTTATTACCTAATGGCGCTTATTTGTGTAGTCGTATCTTAAAATTTTAGATAATCTGTTTTAAAATAATTCGTATTAATGGCTTCAACTGTCGTTAGGAGTGATTTTGCTCCGATCATTAGGCTTGCATTACATGACGCCATTGTACAACATTGTAGTGAAGTGACTTTGCTCTGGTCACTACGCCTTTGCCAATGTTATTGTTATGCGTATTACATACTAGGATATATATATATATATATATATATATATATATATATATATATATATATATATATATATATATATATATATATATATATATATATATATATATATTAGAAATGTTCAAAGCAGGAAGAGTAATTGTATTACCTTATCATTTTAAAAGCCACATAATAAATAATATTTGAATACGAATTAGTTATCTTTAGCCGAGGACATCTGAAAATTTGTTTAATGTCTTTAGTTGAATTTACCTGTAATAAGATTGTGAGCTTAGGAAGTAAATATAATGTGCCTTTAATACTGTTGTATGCTTAGACAAAGTAAATATAATTGTTCTGTAATACCGTACTGTGCTTAAAAATTAAGTACGTTCTCGTTTATACAATTTCCATATCTATGGAAATCCATAATGTTTAATTTTAGTCAAGTTTAACACACACACACAAACACACACACACACACAGTTATACACAGTTCAACATACATTCGTATATTTGCTATTTCTAAAATTCTACGAGTTATAGGTTCATTTGTTATATTTTGAGGAAGACGTTTTATATGAGTTGGACCATCACCAGCTAGTTTTCTAAGTTCGTGATTTTTACATCGGCGACCTACTGCCACTGGGTTTTTTCAAGGTAACTTCATAGTTTATAAGTCCATCTAGGTCAGGCTTACGCATGCAGTTTCAATATCATATCTCTCTCCATGCCTATATATAGAACCAGTAAACAAAAGGCTGAGTATTGGTATTGGCTACAGATAAGAATTTATAGTTGGTCTTTATCTTATGGATAACCAACATTCTTAAGTCGTGACAACCCTGTCTGACCTACGACGGTTGATTTGTTGTAGTTTGACAATACAATCTTGCACTCTGCTGGTTTATCCCAGAATCGATCTTTGGTAAATAGACAGACATACAAGATATGAATGCGTCGAATTACTTCGGTCTTTTCAGGACGTTTCATATTGCTGTGCATATAAGATGAATTTATCGTGCAGATTTTTAGGAAGGATTCGACACATGTAGACAGACAGTCAGTAAGGACAAATATAACAAATGATCAGCGGTGGTTGAATATTTAAGGTCGTGCAAACATGTATTCTGACATACTCATGTATGCACACTCGTTTGCAGGAATGCATTTATGACTTAAAGGTAGGTAATTGCAGATAATTGTTAAATAAATATTTGAATACATGTTAACTGAATATGGATAATAAGTATGTAAAGTATAAAGAACTAGACAGATGTAGGTGGGTGTAAAGATTATACATTTTGGTAGAGGACAGCTGTATTACGTAATCTTGTCAAATTGAGTATGTAAAGGTAAAATCAAGTACCAAACTACTCTGACTTAACGAATGCAGGATATTGACGAAAATTTGAAAAATCTGAATTGAAAACACATGAGCTCTCTGTCTGATATGAAGAGTATGCGCATTCTGTAGATATAAACCAAAACGTAGAGTTCATCATCGAAGGGTAGTGTACATTCTACAATTGCTTAAATAAATCCTAGGTTGTAAATCGGTTTGGCCATACACACGGGGCGAATACACAATGTTTGATTCAATAACATGCATAGGATATGAATATACAGCAATTGTCTTTCTCAAGAAAAATTCCGCAGAGATAAAAATGTTTACCTTGTTGCAAGTTTGTTTAGCATGAATATTTATGACAAGATTTATTGATAGACTGATTTTATGGCAATATTCAAAATTAATCGAAACTCCACAGAAACGTTTAGATACTACTTGCTATTACTACTACTACGATTTCGTGGTATACTTTTCTCATCTAGCTTATGTAATAATATATATTTCAAAGTTCGTGGTTTTAGGATACTTACTTTAATATAAAAATGAAGACACATAACATTGATCTTATCTAAGGTAATCAAAACCAATTTTAATCGTTCTACTGACAACAACATCAACAACAACAACTACTACTACTACTAGTACTAAGAAGAAGAAGAAGAAGAAGAAGAAGAAGAAGAAGAAGAAGAAGAAGAAGAAGAAGAAGAAGGAGAAGCAAATAAGAAGAAGAAGAGATAAATAGTGGACGCAAACAAATTAAAAATCTACTGTTAGGTGAAAATGATTATCATTACGTACATACAGCAAAGTGGATATTTACTGAGAGTTTCTGAAAGCCAAGTCTGGTTTATGCCCTACAGTGCCTCTGTACTTAGAATGGAAGATGTGAATATGAGAAATGAGGAAAGTAATATTGGCGATGATGATACATCAGACGAATGCATTGCATCGGCAGCTCGTGGTCAACACACACATTCACGGCATGAGAACTTGCAGGAAAGAGAGTATGAGGTACGCCATTTTAGCTGTTATTCAGTTACATTGGGTATGACAGTTTAGTGGTTATTTATTTTCATGATTTATGACAGTAAAGTCTTTATTCACTTTCATGGGTTATGCCAATTTAATTATTATTCAGTTACATGGCGAATGACAGTTCACTTGTTATTCAGTTTCATGGGGTATTCTAATTCTTTTATTCAGTTTCAGGAAGTATAACAGTTTAATTGATAGTTTCCTGGGGTAAAACATTTTATTATTATTCAATTTCATGAGACACGCCAGTTTAGATGTTATACAGTGTCATTGATTATGTCATTGGTTATACCAGTTTAGTTGTTATTCAGTTTCATCGACTATGCCAGCTTATTTATTATTCATTTTTATATGGTACGGCTTGTTAACTGTTATTCATTTTCATGAGGTATGAATGTTTAGTTGTTATTCTGTTTCATGGGGTTTGTCAATTTATTTGTTATTCTGTTTCATGGGGTTTGTCAATTTATTAGTTATTCATTTTATGATTGGTTTATGCAACCCTCCATGATTTTGTGTAATACTTAAAGTACATCTCTCTCTCTCTCTCTCTCTCTCTCTCTCTCTCTCTCTCTCTCTCTCTCTCTCTCTCTCTCTTACCCACACAGATATATATATATATATATATATATATATATATATATATATATATATATATATATATATATATATATATATATATATATTTGTATGCATCCATATATGCATGCATGTCTGTATGCATGTATGTATTATCACTACCACCATCATCATCGTACTTATCATTCCAGCAACTCCAAAGAGACTTGAAAAAGATGAATGGAACAAAGACGAAGATTCATGAAGATCTTGGCCACTTGCAGAGATATCCCCTGTAAGTGAATTGAGTATGAAAAGGTCATAGATAATATATTTTTAATTGAATAGTGATTTTCCATTTACGTTTTCTTTCTGATTTTCTTTTTTCTTCTTATTTACATTCAGTTAAAAATTGGAAGAATCCTACTGCACCTGTTGACGATATTATGTCGTCTTGAATTCACCTGTCAATAAGATAAAAGTAGAAAATTTAAATAAATAAATATGCCATTTCCTTGCTGTTAGTGGAAATGTTTTCATTTATTGATGCATTCAAATTTGGGTTCTTTATTCAAAAATATTTAACTGCTTTAGCCAAAATATTTAAAAGGATACAAAAATGAAGTAATGTTGTTCTATTACATTTTAGGTCAGTAACTATTGACGAAGAATATATGCATGGAATGGGTTAGTATTTTCTAATTTGTGAGCTCTTGTGATACACATAATAGGTAGAAAGACAGAAGACGTAAAGTCAGACAGACAAATAAATAGACAGTGGACAGTAGCAAGAACAAGAAGGAGACGTAAAGACAGAAAATTGTTTGGCAGAGAATAGACAGAAAGACAGGGACGTAAAGTCAAACAGATATATATATATATATATATATATATATATATATATATATATATATATATATATATATATATATATATATATATATATATATATATAGAAAGACAAGAGACGTTTAAATCAAACAGACATATAGAAAGATAACTAGAAACTGAAAGACGGGAGAACCAAAGACAGACAAATAGATTGACAGAGGACAACAGACTAAGTCAGGAGCCGAAAAGTCAAACAGACAAAAGGACAGAGGACAACAAACAGAGAAGACAGGATATCTAAGTCGAAAAGACAATTAGGCAGACAGAGGACAACATATGGAAAGACAGGAGACGATTAAATCAAGACAAATAGATCAATAAAGGACAACATACATCTGATGTAAATTCAAACAGCCATAGACAGAGGTCAACAGACAGAAACACAGGATATATCTAAGTCAGGCAGACATATCGAGACGACAGATCAAATAGACATACATATGTAAACAGGACAACAACATTGATATTTGTATAGTTGTGAATCAAGCTTGGCCACAACATTGTAGTTAGTCACACATAAGCTTGTTCTAACTTTTCAAAAACAAACTCACTACCACTCACCCGTAAGAGACAAAATTAAACTAACATCAATAAATCACCCTATCCTACACGATAAC